ACAAACACCCCTCCTGAGGTATGTTCAATTTACGACGAAAAAACCCGTCTTGTTTGGATAATTACATCTACCCCTCAACTATGATTTTTTCTTACACCTCCACCCTTATGGTGTTTAATTCAACATAATCATCTAGATTTTGTGGAATATGCTCTAGTTTGTTGTAGCCATTTTGTGTAAAAATTACAGTTTCTGATGCACCACAATCTGATATATACAAGCCAAAAAGACACATATTATGATCATCTTGCTTCAAAATGTAAAGTTCGAACAGGATAAAATGGGTACAAAAGTGATGATATTTCACAATCTCGAAGATTCCATTAAATTTGAGGGATTAAGGGGATTGTTGTAATTATCCAAACAAGAGGGGGTTTCGTAATTTGACCATACCTCAGTGGTGGTTGTAATTTACCGTATATATATACATATTCAGGCAAATTTAAAGCAACAAAGTCTGTACATATTGGGGGAGTTGTCGTTGTTGCTTGTCAACATGCAATAATGTTTTTTAGATATATATGATGTCAATGTTGGTTTCTATTATCATGACAAAAACTAAGTATTATATAAACGTATTGCATTCCCTTAATAACTTAGGGGAGAGAGAGAGAGAGTCATGCTACTAAATTCACTATAGATCAACAAGACCTATTTCTCCTATATATATATATCTGCATCATGATCTAAACATATATACTTGCACACCCACACAAATGCAAGACATGAATTACTCCATGCTTCTTATTTTCCTTTGGATACTCCCAACTTTCGTGTCATTATCGTTCAACGTCAACACCACTAGCGCGTCAACCTCCGTCGTCGAAAAACTCTGCAACAAAACCCTCAATCCGAGTTTCTGCACGGCCGTTCTTCGGTCCAATCATAGGTCCCAAAACGCAAGCGCGTTCGATCTCGCCATACTAGTTGTTGATTTGGCATTGGCCAATGCAACGGCTACGATAGCCAAGATCCACTCTCTTTACCGATCGGAGGCCAATGCCAGTTTGAAGTACTACTTTGCGTTATGTGAAGCATATTATGAAGAATCTTTGGTTTTTCTTGGAGTTGCAAGAGAACATCTCTAGCAAGGCGATTACGACGGGGCTAATGAATCTGCAAGTGCAGCCTATGATAATGCCGACTACTGCGAAGATGCGTTGAACACTCCACCA